CGTGGCTGCATTCTTCAACTTAACCTGAAGGTGTCTATGCTTCTGGTGAGATATTTTCATCTTGACACAATTGTTGTCGTGTCTCTGTCCACACAGAACAAGATGACAGTTGTCCCAGACTGGAATATTCCACGAGTAACCAGTTCCGTGCCATGTTCAAATGCCACGCCTACTCTGGCTCAGGGATAAGGAGTGTATTTGAAGGATAATCGGAATGTGTCTTAGTTGACGGAAATAATGAAAAAAGCTTTCCGGAGTATGCCACACATAAAAAACGTTTTGCTTTGAAGATGCAGTGACGATTACGTTTAGATTAACCATCTGAGGATGATATGGAGAAAGATGATATGTCAACTGAATCCCCGGGATAGCGAGCAGCAGTTATGGACTCCATTCGTTTGCGATCATGGACCGTTCAAACTCTATTGTGAGGTTCAATGAGAGACTGCCTAGCTACGGAGCTTAGATACTTTTTAATCATTTCAGACCCTTTGAACAGATTCGCCAAGTGCCTCCCGAAAAAATTCTTAAATAAAATCTCTCGACGACTCAATCATTTTTTCATGGTTTACACATCTCATGCATTAAGGTACTCTTTACCCTCAGGCGGCTTCTTCATCTTTCCTTTCCAAGACCTTAGTTATAGGGAAGGTATTCGAATTTATGGGGACGATGATGGCTTACATTTTCATTTGAATCCTTGCCCTATCGAGAAACGGTCGCGGAAAATCAGTCAGGTTTGTCTTTCGTTCTAGTTCATGTTTCAAAACACGTTGCTCTTTTCACCCATCCTCTTTGGAAGTAGTAAATGTACAGTTCCTTTTCGAATTGCGAATGAGGAAACCCTGCCACTTCATGTGCTGTCAGTGTGAAATTTCAAGGAGCTTTTGAGGCCGTAGTGTTGTCGTCCTCAGTATACCTAGCATCCAGTCAAGGAGGAGGTGGTGTGGAGGCGAAGGGGAAGCTCACCACGCGTGCTGGGGTTAAATTCCGAAGCGGCTCCTGCTCAGGTCATTCACGCTTTCTACTCTCCGGGACGGTAATTTGGTACCGAGTTTGTCTGGGAGGACAAGAGCACTGAATTGTACATCGGCTGCTCCCCCCACCCCCAGCAAATTGTTGTATGGTTGCATCGCGCTCAGTAAGCCCCTACGATCTGAATGGAAATAGAATGTTGCCGTACTGAGGAGATACCCGTTTTGTCTTTTTTAGCCATTAATGCCTAGTTTCATTAGGATCCTTCTCATTTAAGAAATCTGAAGAAATGCTTTTACCCGGTAAACCTGATGTGGAACCAAGTTCACGGCTACATACAGTTCCTGTGGAATCGCCCACGGTAAGTTGATATAATAGATAATGTAAATTCAATTTGCATTGTAAAGTTTTCTTTTTTCCTCGACCCAATCAATTATCACATTCGAATATCCTAGTTTAGACAGCACTGAAAGAAGATGACGAGTGGGAACGGAATTTTTACGAACGAGTGAAACATGATTTTACTGTTCCTGCCTATTTCAAGACTACTCTCGGGTCCGTTTCTCACAACTGCTAAATATTATTTTACATTTTTTCATAGCTGCTCTTTTCAGAATTCTCGTAGCCAACAATCAAGATCTCCGGAAAGAAAGGGCCTTCCTCCACAGTCATCTCAGTCAATCTCGCCCGTGAAATTTCGCAAGCGTAGGGAAGTCGCGGTAGAAAAGCTAGCTCACCGTTGTTGCTATTGGAATTCTTGTTTGTACAGTTTGTTGTTGTGTTGTTTACTTCCACTTCTGCTTGAAGGCACGCCGCGCGTTCAAAAATCGTGATCTGTGCGGTTCAAATGCGGTTGGAAAGATGGCAAATGCACAGAGGTGACTGAAAACCTGCGCAAAATGCCCTATGTAGAACCCCATGCAAGGAAAGGTGTGTGGTCGGACGAGTTCTCACTTGTTGGTGTCAGCTCTTTCCGTCCATCACCTTACTCTCACCATTTGGAATGGAGGCAGCTAGTGTTGGGACAATTGTGCTACCAAGTTAAACCAGCAGTTAAAAGTGAAACTTAGGCGTCGCCGTGGGAAGTGGGTGGGGCGGTGGCTTCGTCGCGAGCGGGTCGCCCACCACCGCCTCCCTTGACATATTTTCGAGCTGCAAAAAGAGTGCATCCCCCATGGTAGAACACCACCTTGTCCGAAGAACGTCTGCGTATCAAGTGAATGCGGAATGTGCCTTTGAGTTTACCAGTTCAGGTTTGATAATCCCGGCGGGTTTCAAGATATTTTCGTCCTGATGCACCTCGAATCTTTTTCATAGTTCTTGTAAAGTGATATCATAGAGTACTCTTCTAGAATGCGTGATTTGTTTTCCTTGAACTACGGTTTTTTAAGTTGACTTATAATATTGAATTTATATGACTAGTTTTGCTCCTAGCGTCCTACCATTTTTATGTTGTTGATTCCGAGTAAATTATGCTTATCAAAAAATTTGAAGATTATCGTGGTGTCAACCACAGTCTATCG